CGCTCACACGCACACACACACACACACACATACCCCCACACACACACACACACCCCCACACACACTACCGGGTCTGGGCGCTGAAACGTTCCGAAATCACAAAAGAGTTCCCCTACCGGGTCTGTATACTTCGTGACTTTATGGACATGTTTATTTATTGCATCGTAATGAATAATAAAGGACTTGAAAATTTTCTCAGTATAGTAGATCTAGTCTCCATCTGAGACCCCGGTGCTCGGGAGCAAGGAAAATCAAAATGCGCGATCTTACGCAATGAATGGGATCTGGCCCACAACCGGTAAAATGGTCTCTCTTCACTTTAAAACTAAAATGAACTGACATGACCCCTGGGTGGGTTTATGGCGGCCACATAGTGCAGGCGAACTTTTTGACTATTCTCACCCGGTGTGCGTTCACCATGATACCAGTGTACCGGGTGAGAATAGCGCAGGCGAGCCTTTTGGCTATTCTCACCCGGTGTGCGTTGACCGTGATACCAGTGTAGCGTTCATCATGATACCTCTGTGTGAACAAATGTTTCAGTGCTCTTGTGTTGAAAGCGGGAAATTTTGTCTGTGGGCAGTGAGTGGGAGGGGGGAGAGAGAGAGAGAGAGAGGAGTAGTGAAAACTTCCAGGCAAAACAAAAGCAGCCGGCATAGTTCGGCACGATTCGAAAAGTGAAATAGCTGTAGCATCTTTGTAGACAACCAAATTAGTTAACTTTTGAGCCATAACATCATTTTTAAAATTTGTTTTTGTCAATTTGATCATCCACACCAATCGACTGTATTCCGAAATTAGGAAAAACAGGTCTTGTTTCATACCGAGTGAGAATAGCCAACGTTGGCAAATCTCACCCGATGTGAGAGGTCGATCGTATTTTTATTCTCACCCGGGGTGAGAATAGCCACTTCCTTTTATATGGCATAGGGCTAGCAAAAAGTGGTCAACCTTGATGATCAATTGCAGTGGCTTGAGGCATGCCATTTTCACTCAATATCCTATTTTGTGAGTCTCAAGTTTCAAGATCTACACTTAGACTGTTGCCCCTCCCCTTCACCTGTCCAAAATTTTATAGCTTTCCATCTCTGACCGAGTTGCCCCGCCTTTTGTGTGACACACCATTTCGTTGTGACCTCACCAATTAAAATTCAGTCTGCCTCGCAAATTCAGGAGTAGAGACAATTGCAATGGTTATAGTTCGATGTGATTCCGCCTGGAGTGAACTTGTAGGCCCTACCTACTTATGTTGTGACATAAGTTTAGGTGGAGAGCTCAGGGTCGAGTGCAATGTTTTGGGAAAACAAATGTGTCGGCCAGTTTACACCTCCGTGTGATCCCGTCTGGGGCAAACATTGTACCATTTCATCGGGTTTCACAATGCACGAGAGTGGCTGTTCTGTGATGCGATGGGCAGTTCAATGATCTCAACTTTTTCACTCTTGGTTGATCGGCTGTGCCAGCCAAGGTTTTTGTTTTTCGGTAAATTATGATCTGAAATACGGGATCTTAGCAGATTGTAGACCTTCAGAGTGAATCAGAGTGGGATCAAAGGGGTGACATATATATATATATACATACAGTGGAACCTGTGTAAGACGGTCATGCATTGTCGAGGGGAAAGGTGGCCATAGACAGGTGGCCGTCTAGGCAGGACTGATCAAAATAAAAAACCCTCCAAACTATTTACTCCTGAGGTCCCAACTTGAGGTGGTTGCATGCTTAGGACTGCTCTAAGGCTGATTAAAATTTGTTGTTTTTGTTCTATTTCTTTTGAAATGGGGGAGAGGATAGGACGGTTTTTGTGGGACTTTTTGTTGCTAGTTTTATTTTTATTTTTAAATTATGGTTCTGGGAAAGGTCAAAACAAAACTAAATGTTTCAGACGAGGAAGGCCAAGTGTCATAGTAAAACAAATAAATGGGTCGCCACCACTCGGCGAACGAGCAACACTTCTGTCGAGAGTTTGTGTTGACTTCAATTATGGACTTGGTTTTTACAGACAAAAATGTTACGACTCGTCGAAAAATATCAAACGGGTTTGATCCGTCAAAATTTTTATTCAAATGTTTTAGGACATCAAAACACCCTACACACTGTCAAATTAGGCATCAAAATTTTTATGCAAAATTTTGACTCTTTATGAACGTATGGGCCCCTTTACAAAACAACAAACACACCCTGTTTTTCCCTCTTAATAAAACTGGACTTTTTACAATAGCTCTGATATTTATTTTTTGGGGTGGGGGTGAGCACAAATTCAGCAGGCTTTATTGTGAAAGCATTATGATCATTTTATTTTTAGTTAGCATGAGCATTGTGAACTTTAGTTACTGATTGTTCAGTTTTATTTGGAATTTTGCTCCCAACAGCTGTCAGTTCTGAAAAATTGTTGTCAGCTCAGAATTTAGTATTGAATTCTACTTTATGTGAATTCTGTTTCTTTTAAAGTAAAATTTATTTTCCAGGTTGTTTTCTGTGCACTTTGTCATGCAGTTGTGAGGGATGGGAATGGATTTTTTAAAAGTCAAAGAGGAAGCTGGGAAGTACATCTCAGATTCCAATTTAGCAATCACGCATTATGATGAAAAGAATCTGCAAGTCCACATTTCATCTCAAGATGGTGTTCACAGCTTCTACATTTCTTGTCCTTCACAGGATATTCCTTCGTGGGTAGGCAAAGTTTTTTAATTCTGTGTTTTGTGTATACATATATAGTCTTCTCCTTATCCGTTGTACTTTTAACTTTTCTTTTCCAGCTATGTTGTTTTTAATAAAATTGAAAAAACATAGGAACAATTTACTTGCTTTGGTTAAATTACAACTCGCATATATTATTATTATTACTCACAGGCCTTAGACATCTCATGCTCTCTGGAAAAATGGGAGGCAAATGGAGCAGGGGTAAACCAAGAGTAATGTACTTTAAAAAAAAGCTTAACAGATGAATGATGCGGAAAGTTCAAGATAATTTTAAAAATGTTTAGAGCATTTTGGTGGAGAAATGAATGGTGAACCATAATTGCCAATGTCTGTATCATGTCTGGCACTTAATGATTATGTTGTTAAAAAAGATTCAAATAGCAGTGAATAAAGATGTCATAATACTTTTACTTCTTTTAAATTCTTCAACATTATTGTCAATGCTGATAGTTAAGATTTTTTTTGTTTTTCTTTCTTTTTTTTCGGTGCAATTAATTTCTATGAGTTCTACAAGCTTGTATTACTGAACATTTTTAATGAATACCAAGAGCGCTGCTATTTTTCTGAAAATTTAAATTCAGTTGTCTGCATAACATGTTGAAAAGAAATTTTTTTTTTTTTTTACAGGGAGTGTGGAGTGAAAAAGATGAGTCTTTAGAGTTGCTTCAAACTAGCATGGAAATGTTGAAATTGGATTCCTGTAGCTGTGTTAGTGAAGCTTTGAAGTCCATTGACACCATGCTGAAGGTCAGGCTAAAATTTAGTTGTTTTTCCTTATGAAATAAAATAAACTTTTTTTTTTTTTAGATATGTAATAATTCTGGTCTATATTTACTACTTATCACTCAGTTTCCTGGGTACTCATTCATCTCACCTGTAGAATCTTATGAAATTAAAAAGCCCCAGAACAGAATTCTTCTTTTGTCTATAATTTTCTATCTTAAACAGTTATTTTCAGAGTTGAGCTTTAATGGCTTTATTAAAGAATTTAGAATATTATTATTTACTAATATTAGATAGCTTTTGTACAGCGCAAATTCCCGCTCAACAGCAAGTTCTATGCGCTTCACAATCTATACTATTCTATGGCCACAGATCTTTCTCCATCACATATCTTTTCGATGTGAGGATCAGACTGTAAATAATATATTTACTGTCCAGTCTTCATATAAATGCGAGGCAGCGTGGTCAGATCAGGCGCTCGTCAAAATAACGAAATTGGAGAAGCAGGCATTTTTCCGCCAGTTTGGAAATTTTTATACTATTTTTATTTATGTCCAATAAAAACACATTTCCGAGTGAATTTTACTGAAGAACATTGATTAACAGGCATAAAGTATGTAATTTTTCAGTCTTCAAAGAATTTGGAATTACCAAACTTTGGCAGCCATTTTCTCACTAATTTCACCACTGAAACCAGGCGACTTCGTTTCCTTCAATCGCAAATATCTTGAGTTCTATTCAAGATAAATGGATATTTCTTTCATTGGAAGCAAGGCAAATAAATCAGCTTTCAGGTGATACCAATAACTCCACATGCTCAAATATTGACAGGCGCCTGATTCCACTGCGTCGTGACACAAATAAGATTGAGACGAAGAAAAATCAGTGGAAAGCAGAAAAAAAAAAGATTTGAAAAGAATGTGGCATGTCGGTTTCTTGAACTGAACCGCCAAGAAGTATCCGTTTCGAGTACTGGATTCTTGAGGTTACATGGATTGTACTTAGTTCTGAGAGGATGCTGGTGTTTCAATCTGTCAATTTTGAAAGAAAATTAGGTTTGATTTTAAATGATTTGACTTAGTTCTTCTTCTTTCTTCTTCTTCTTCTTTCTTCTTCCTCGTTCTCGATGACAGCAGCTAGACAGTCAGTCCGATGTCGCGTACAAACTGTGTAGTTCGCTTCAACTCTGAAAGACTGTCATAGAGTATAGAGTTTTCTCTCAAGGAGAGCCACATTCTGCCACGTCTGTGTGCGAAGGGTGGCGTAGCGCGGGCAGTGCTGAAGGATATGGTTGGCATCCTCTTGGTCGTGTCCACATTCACAGGTAGCTGTTTCTCCCACTTTTTTTTACTTACTCATATTGTTATTCCCAGTTTTCTCATGTTGTCTTTTGGGACACATTGCTTAACATACAACTACAACATGATATATTTTCTTAACCATATCATATCTTCTTTTTGCACAATAAAAGACCTGTATTGATGGGGAAAGACCTGACTCGAAAAAAGCTGAGGATGATGATGATGAAGAAGAAGAAGAAGAAGAAGAAGAAGAAGAAGAAGAAGAAGAAGAAGACTCTGACACTAACAATGAGGAAGACGAGTATTACATGCAAGATGACATAGATGCTGTACACAATGAGGGAGTTTCAAAGGAGTGAGTGACTTGTTATTATATGTAGTAGTAGTCGTGTAAGATCAATTAACATTTTTCTGCGATAATTGTAGTGGTGGTTTGTAGGTGCTTTTGTGTGATCTATCTCTTCTACTTCATTGTAGTGTTATAGTCTGCCAAACTCATCCTAGTGAAATTGTGGCAATCATTGTGCTTTCTCGAGTTGAATTGAACAATAATACAAAAATGCCTCAAACACATGAGTTGTTTTTCTTGACCTTCAGTTGTCCTAATGTCTTCATTGCTTTTGTGCTTTTGATAACTGTTTCTTCATTTAACTAGATATATACCGTACATTTTTTTCTAGGACTGCATTATTTTTATAATTATTTTTCATTTTTATTCCTTTGTTAGGAGGGAGAGTGAAATGGAAGTAGCTGCCAACTTTTTCAATAGCAAAGGAAGCAGCACAGCGATCAGTAGGCTTGTCAAAGGTGAGGCTCCCAATTTTATATATTTTTGTACGATACTGTTAAGAAATGTGTGACATTTGATAATGATATGCTGAAGTTGTACTTATGTTTTCTCTTTCCTTAATCAATCATAAGTGGGTATTCAACATGATGTGTAATCCTTTAGAAAATAGGGGACATAAGTAAAATGCAGATGTCAAAGTCCATAATTTATAATGGGAGGTTGATTTTTTAAATGAGGGCTGTATATAATTGATTACTCTTTGTAAAAGCCTACATATGATGGTTGTTAAGCGCACAGAGCATGTGTAGAGCATGGATGTGCACTGTATACATGCAGTTATTATCTAGTATCTAGTTGTGGTGGCCGAATTTTGCTATTCAAAAGGCTTTTTAATGACTGCATCAATCGACATGCGGTTTTCGCCAAAAGATTCTTTAAAATATTCTCCAGATCATGACGCCCTTCGTTTTTTCAGTTTTGAGACAGTTTTGCTGCAAAAAGATAAATTTTCATTATTTCGCCAATCGCTTTTGTAGGCCGACGCTTCAGTCTCTGTAATTTTAGAAAATCCACCAGGTTTGTTTATTTCAAGTCGTACTTCCGTTCAATATTATCGCGCATTGTCGAGCAATACTTAGCACTATTTTAAGTGTGCGACCCGTATAGATCTAGCCTCATGTTTTCTTTTTTTACTTGGTGCTAAATTCAACTGTGATCCTTTCGTTTGATGCCCATCGTCGCTTTTTTATTGCTACATTCCAGTAGAGTGTAAATTAATACAGTAGGCCAATGACTTTTAGTTGATGTTAATGCACCGATCATTCCTTTCATCGAAAGGGGGCCCAGCTAGTTTTTTCTAAACATGCCATTGTCATTGAATGTGTTGAAGAGTTTTGGCATGGCAAAGTGATGCAATGATGTGATATCCTCTTCTTTGGGGGTTTTATTATTTTTTTTTTAAACTTCAGATCTGAAAGCCATCCAAACTATTAGTCACCAGTTTGGAATTTCAGGCCAACCCAGGGGCAATAATCTGTTCATGTGGGTAAGTTGCCACCCATTGCACTACTTTTCCCTACTTATTTTACATTTCTTTAACATTTCCATGTATGTGTACATGCACACATGCACATGAACACACTCTTGTGAATGAATTGTGAGTTTGAACGCATACATCTGATAAATATTTGATATGTGTGTGGACCAACATTGTGTTTTTAAGTGGATGCACATAGCTCGTACATATTTCCAAGTGCTTGTGCTTTTGTTTGTCTGTAGGAAAAAAGTTTCACTGGGTTGTTGGTTTTTTTTTGGGGGGGGGGTTTCTTGCTTTATAAAAATCTGTTTTTTAATCATTGAATATTATATTTTACTAGTAACTGTCACTGAAAGGAATCTGTGTAATAAAATCTACATATTTTGTTATCATATTTGATTTTACTTTTATCACCAGAACGTTGAACTATCGAACATTCCAACTGACACCAAGCTGGGTAAAGATTTGAAAGAGTATCAAATGAAGTATAAGGAAAAGGTAACTCTTTCTTGATTTGCATTTCCTATCTATTAATCTGATGGAAAATTCAAGGCTCTGAACTTTTTTTTTTATTAATCTCAGAATATCTTGCTACATTTTATGTCATCCAGGCTTGTTTCCATAGCGCTTCAGTTTTCTGTCATTTGAATTGTTTTCCATTTTACAGTTTTAACAGTAGTGGACACATAATTGATTTTTAGCATTTCAGTTTTTAGTCCTTTTTTATTCCTGCTATTTTGGGGTACTTAAAAAAAAAAAGAAGAAGCTTTTGTTATTCATACAGATTTTTCAATTCGATGTTCTTTTGTCTTTGATTGTAAAAGGCAAACTACACATGCATACTATGAAATATGCAACTTCATGTTTTTGATTTGTGTTTAGACTTCCTAAATGTGTCTCAGCAGGGCCTTTGGTCTGTTGTCCACTATGTCCTTAACCATTTAGTACCTATAGCAGCATTGTGTGGAGTCTATTGATTCACATCTGGAGCGGCATTGCGCTGCGTTTCAATGTCTAAACGTGCAACACTGCTATGGCATTCATTTCTATGAGGTCAAGGAAGACTGACCGATTAGAATTGACTGAAAACTAGGCTATAAAGCGAAAGCAGAACTGTTTTTCTTTCTACTAGTTTTTGAACAGTCAAAATTGACCCAGAAATAGCACGCATGTTAATTTTCAAAGGAAGTATGACGAACTGAAGGTCGCAATGAAGTTGAAACTGGAACAAATCCAATGAAATAGATAGGTAATGAATTAAACCTGACAGTCACAACTATAATGGAAAAATAAGTAACTTACCCATACTGTACTAGATCGTATTGATTTTAATCATTTATGTGTAAATACTTTAGATGCAGAGACATTAAGACTCTTCTCGACGTCATTAATCCAAAGATGATTATGAACTTTGCTAAAGAGATAGGATTGTCTTGAAAAATATAGTTTCAAAGATATATTATATACATGCACTACAACTGATATTATTATTATAAATACATAATATATATATATATATCCTTTTAAAACATAAATAGATTTGCAAAAATGAAACAAGTTCATTGCAAGCAGTACTCTTTTCCTAATATTAATAATATAGTTGCTTTTTTCCGGTAGAAATTTTTTGAAACAACATATCATTGGTGCCACAAACAATCCACATATGTCCCTTTGGGTACTTTTTACGTCAGAGACAAAAACTAGTTTTGTTGTGTTGTTCCTATAAAGAATTATTAAAAGCATGAGAATTGTAAGCATTTTGGTGATGTTGAAAGGTGCATCTTTGATAAAGCATTGAGAGACTGTAAAAATTGAAAATTCCCAAAATTTGGACTTAAATGGATTGCTTGCGTCCGTGGCGATATGTGTTATTTCTTTAGAGAATAATCTTCCTTTTTCAGGATTTTGGGGCATGCATCATGACAAATCCCAGGTGCTATATGGTTAAAAAGTTATGAATCTGGAGTATGTAACTTGATAATACTGTATCAAGATAATGTGAAGATACACAAAATTAGTATAAGTGGTATTTCAGGAAATTTTATTTCAGATATAAAATCAGATGCCAAATCATTTGGTTTTAGAGCCTGTTTTTAGATTGTGCCTGTCATGAAAGTGCAAGATTTTTACATAATTGTCTGTTTCTACAGGCTGCAATAAAACTAGACGTTCAGTTTCCCTCTGAGTACCCTTTCCAGCCTCCTTTTATCAGAGTGTTGAAACCAAGGTTCAAGTTTTTGACTGGTAGGAGATCATTGCAAAATCTTCCTTTGGTTGTGATGAACCAATTTGTTCTCACTGTTTGTTACCAGTTGTGTGTGATTTGTAACTAGCTTTTACCTTACTTGTACAATTGACTTACCTTCGACCTAAACAAAAAGTAACAAGATTATAAAAAAACGGTCCCTGTGGTTTTATGCACCCGGCATAATTTAGCAAAATTTGATCATTTTTTGCATAATTTCTGATTATTTTTTTTTATCATTCTTTGTTAAAATTAACAAAATCGCATAATTTCACATTTTTGGGCCTTGTTTGCATAATCATAATTTCAAAATTTTCCTTGCTTAAAACGACGGGGACAGAGAAACTCTTCCCTTCAGGTTTTAAAACACAATCATATCTGATAAGCAGGTTAATATAGCAGTCCTGGATTCAATTTTGCATTCCACTGATGTTTCCTGTCATGTTGGTGTATCAAGTGTTTTTATTTTACTATTTCGGCATCCCCTTCCCCCTCCCTTTTCCAGATTCTATCAATTTGTTCCAGTTTTGTTACTCCTGCTGTGCCTTTTTTTGTTGTGGGATCATCAGCTGTGTTGCTGCTTACTGTACATAGTTGTGGGTGGTTGGCGGGTGTTCTGGTGTGGTTTGCTCCTTCTTTCCTATCAAACATCTGTCATCCTTATCTCCCCTTCTTCTTTTTTATGTTTGTTATATGTTACTCTCTTGTAACACCTCTAATCTTCTGGCGCTCATATGACCTTATGCAGTTGTGAGCGCTGTAAAACCTCTACTAAAACTAAAATACTGTACATAGTTTCTCCATCTATCTGCCCTCATGATCATGATCTCATCACCTTAAGCATATGTATATACGCTACTATTTATTTGAGCAGTGGAATTATCTTTTTTTTTTCTCTTATATTCAGTTCAAGATTCTTCATACTATGTACTTCTTCCAAGGTGTCTTTGTGTGCATGTGTGTAATAAGACTCAATTATTGGATCTGTTTTCTCCTTCTTCATTTTGTCTTAGGTCATATAACAGTGGGCGGCAGTATTTGCATGCAGGCTCTCACCAAGTCAGGCTGGTGTCCTGCCAATGATCTTGAGGTAAAAAGTTTGTTATGATCTAGTGGGCTCCTGTCATGATAAGCCCCAGAATTGTAAATGATCAGAAGTATAGTTAAATAATTTCATTTAGGACTTTAAAAATACCCTGTTTATTCAAGTACACTCAAACCTTGTTGTAATACCGCTGACCATGGGAAAATTATAAAGTTGGCTGTATATGAATATGAGGGCTCTAATGCTGTCCTCTGTTAACCCCTGTGTGACACAGTGTCAGTTCGTGCTTCACCGGGCACAGTTTTGGATCCCCAGGGACACTGGGTAACCCCATATTTAGTGGTCAGTTTCCTATTATCCTATAATTAGACCCGGTTTGCAAATACTACTAACTATATCTGAAACTGAAAGGAAAAGAACTATATATCTCTCTTGGTATGGAACAAATAGTTCTGAAGGTGAATCTGTGATTAGTTTTACGAAAGTTGTTGTTATAATGGTCATCGTGCTTCTTAAGGCTTGACAAACGCTGTACGTCACAGCAGCATCTTGGCTCGTTCGCTGTGTGTGTAAGAAAAAATAATGAACGGTGTAGGTCATATATTGGTCATGAAGGGGTTAATTAGCCACAGTGTCACGGGAATAGACTCTGCTGCATGAATTGTGTTTGACAAGTGTCTTTTTTTATTGGTGAGTCGCATGTATTTAAGAGTGAGAATCTTTTCTCTCTTTCTCTCTCTCTCTGTCTGTCTCTCTCTCATTCATTCTCTCCCTCCGTATGTGCGTGTGTGTGTGTACTAATTCAAACAAAAAATTACATTTACTACTGGATCGAAGGCTACTTGGCATATATGCATGCAACCTTAAATCTACAAAACAAATGGTGGAGAGGTGGGATGTAGACTTTAAACAATGCTGTCATTCTTTCCTTTATCAAACAAATGGTCTTGATTCAATTTAACATGGCATTTTAAAATTTTTTTTTGGTGATGAAATTCAGCTAAACATTTTGAAATGCACTGCAAGGAGGGAAATAACAAGATAATGCTCTTAGACAGAAGGAGGGAGGTGAAGCAATTGTATTGTCAATGCAATGTCTCTCTCTTTTTTTTCCAGAGCATCTTGATACAAGTTCGAACTGAGATCTTGAGTGACCCAGCTGCTTGTCTCGACCCTCATCATCCAAATAAGGAGTATGGGGAAGGTGAGGCAAGAGATGCTTTCTCGAGAATGGTAAAGAAGTATGGGTGGTCTTAACCATCCCTGTGAAGCTCATTCTGCACAGCAGACATCTGTGAAAGTTAAATACTGTGCGAGTCTAAGGATTTCTGGTTGGCACTTGTTTTTACAAAATTCAGATGGGGTAATTTAGAGCCAGGTTATGGATTGAACTTATGGATCTTGTTGCTCTGCTCCGTACTCCCAATTTGTTCTGGCCCTGTTGAGCACTTATTGTGGGTCATAACTTGGACAGGGGGCATCAATATTTCATTGTTAATTTGACCTCACGACTTGTTCACACATCACATTGATGGGACTGAAAGTGACATTTACTTGACTGTTAGTGGTCAGATTGGCTGAACTGACACTTTGTTAACACTGTTTCCACTTAGTCATGGGGGGGGGGGGGGGGGGGGTAAAACACATAATTTGAAAAGCCAGTTTTTAGGATGCACAAAAAATATAACTAAAAACATATTGTTTGGTAGTCTTTGATTCTGAGCCGCCTCCCCCCTTTATTCATAATACGTGTAGCCGTTAACAAACTGCTGAGAACTGTCCAGTATACAACCAGTTTTACCACAACTATTGGCAAATGCATGCAGTTATGTTGGATGAAATGTGTGCAAAATGTGCTGATTTTCCTTTTACTTTACTCAAGTGCCATGAATGAGCTAGATACGTATCAGTTTTTGTTATTGTGTTGACAGAAGTCAGATGTACTCTACTCTTACCCAGCATCTGATTTTTGCTGGAACATCATAATAATGGCAGCAATTGCGGCTTAATTTTGCTTTCTTGATGTTTGGTACTTTATTAGATTACCCTACACCGGTAGGTATCAATCATATTTCTTTTTTCGATTACAATTAAATCCTCTCAACGGCAAATTGTTATTAATATAAAAAACATTTTACTCACACAATTGGAGACAGTTTATTTTCACCTCTACAGCACTGAAACTCACAATATCTGAACTGCAGTTTCTTTTAACTAAGAAATTTTAGTCAGGTCCTGCCATCCTTGCATTTCATTATCATCAAGGCTGCTTTTCTTTGTTAACACATAACACCCTAAGGGTCTGGACGGGAAGTCCATTGTTAGATCCTAAGCAAGGGGAAGGAAACTTTTTTGCAATAACTAATAACTATGCAAATCAAAATCTCTGCCCCAGCATGGCGAGATTTCGTTTCTAAAGACGCTAGGTCGGCGCAGGCGGTTCCGGGCGAGTCAGGATGGAGCGTGTAAGGGAATTCCCGGGCAAGTTAGGGTGTAATGTGTTAATGTTCATGAACCAATTACATGCTGCAACATATATGGGTCAAAGTTTGTCCTTGCCATTTCCATTTGATAAGTATACACTGACCATTCCAATTTGAGGACCCTTCCCAGTTATGCACTCCCGACTGGTTGATCAAGTATATTTCCCCCCTTCACCCTTTCCTCTTCACAGTTTTTGCTAACAGTGGGTACCCATTTGCTCCCCTTACTGTGCAAATACAGTTGAAATTGTTCAGACAGCCACTTATTGTCAAGGGAAAAAGTAGTTGTCTCTAGACAGATGAATGTCTTGGACAGTGGCGTAATTGATTAAAATAGAAATAAAAATGATGGAAAGTGGTCGCTTGTACAGGCAATTTTTCTGGACAATGGTTGTTAGAGCAGGTTCTCTTTTCATCAGCCTTTAAGTGTTAACATTCTTTTGCACTAATGGAAGTAAGAGTCAATTACAGCAGGCTCTGGTCCCACATATTTTTCTCACTCGAAATAGTAGAAATGAAAACAAGGCTATAACTTTAATGTCGGTGATCTATTCAAAGCCAGGCGTACCTTTTGGGGAAATCCTGTGGGAGGATGAACACTGGCACTGGGGGGGTTTTTTCTTTGCCTGTTTTGGCCAGTTGAACAGGAATGGCTTATTGTACTGTGCCACCTTTTTAGGAAGCGATCTATGACAGATGCAGAAAATATATATATATACACATGACATGCACATGAGAAAATCAATTAATTTGGGGTTTTATAGAGAAGTTTCTCTATATTCCATTGATTTCATTTTCATTTCACTTGATTCACTCTATTCTAGGTGACCTTCATCAATGGTCCATATACTGTTCTTAAAAGATAATGTATGTGTATAGTGTGAGTGGATTTTGTAAGTAAAGTTTGAATTGTGTAATACAATGCAGTTTGCATATGATTTTTTCATTTTATATATAACGCACTGCGACTGATATTTTGTACATGTATACTTCTTTGACACACATAGCAATGTTCATTGAATTTTCCCCTCTAAATGAATGCTGTCTGCTTCTTTATTCTTACTGATGCCATGTCAATTGATTTGAAAAACAGAAATTTGTTTGACATTTTTTATACAGCAAATAAATATAAATGACTTTGTGGATGTGCATTATATGTTTTTCTTTCAAGGGGCTTTGTGGCTTATGCTGTCCTTCACAGGTTGATGCTTTTCTCAAGACACATTTATTACCCTCTGAACCTAAAAATGGTTTCATACTGGTCAGGAATAAAGTACTATGCATCATTGAGTCTTTTAAGTTGCGAGACCTCTTAACAAACATGTCTCTGAGAGGACCAGATCAGGTTGGTGGAGAGCAATGAATATTCCTAAAACAACCAAAGCTCAAGAAACTCCGATTGAGGACTCAAACATGTTTCACCCACCACTGCACATTCCAGCATTATAAACAATTGATGTCTTATGTCAGTGACTGATCAGTTGATTAAAGTAAAGCAAAAGATGTAGAAACAGTCTTAGCACAAAGGGGGAAAAAAGCTGCTTGGATAGGAAGTTCATCAATTTATTTCTTCATACTCAACTCCACATGATTTAACAGCCAACCCTTCAACACAAAGTAATTCATATAATTCATATCAATGAGAATGCACACTTGACAAGGCTCGAGATATATTTGAAATTATTGTTATTCATAGAGTACTTGCAAAAATAGTCATTTCATCAGAACTCTCTTTCAGTTGCATCACCCACTATATTCAAACAAAACGTACTCATCCAATCTTTCACCCATCTTGTAAAATGTCTGGCCCAGATAACATCAAATGTGTTTGACACACAACCATAAATTAAACCTATAAAGCAAAAAATTGAAGAAAATCAAGGACACTGACAGTACACTGGTCGAGACCCATTTTCAAACAACTAGATTCAAGAAAGTTCTAAAATTTATTTGAACAAGTTGTGACCAGCCAGATTTTTCTTCATGGCTGGGGGAAAAAGAACAATTTTTGGCACAATTTGACCAAATTCAACTGTGTCCTTCAAAATTAAATGTGTTCAGTTTTCAAGGTCATGAGTCAAATATGGCTCCAACTCAATTCAACTGAATGGGAATTAAGACACATTAGCCTAGAGGTAATGTGCTTATGATGCATCTCGATACCAACAGTGTGAGCACCACCCCATGCAGGGGCAAGCCTGGTGGGCTCATGTAACCTGACACACTCAATAACCATGGTATTTTGTTTTCTATCGAGCACACAGGGTTAATTGAGACAAGTGTGAGGAACAGTTTGATCAAGTTTTTTTCAAGACGGGTTATTTTCCATATTATATTCGTACAGGCGTTTCAAAAACAGTACATGCATTGCCAATGCAAAGAAAATATAGAAGTTCAATCAGAAAATGGCATACTTTATGAACTTATGAACTATCCAATTTTGTGTGTTTGTGTTATCTGGTCCTGACAATTTTTTTTAGTCAGAGAGAAGCTTATGTATATAGATCTTCTTGTCATTTAGCTAGTGAAAAAACAAGATAATACAAATAACTGATTAGAAGAGAAGCAATGGTGTTCTTTAATCAAAAGAGGAAAATACAATCTCGCTTTTATCATTTTCAGTTTCTGAGCAGCAAATGTACACTGTATTATTGCATTTACTTATAGAGTTACACTGCATGTCAAAACAAAAAAATTTGTATCGAGACATTCCCTCCCAACCTTGATATTACTACTTCTTTTTGTCGAGACTTTTCCATCATTATGTACTAGCTCATTCAATTTTTTTTTTTTACCGCAGAAATGATGTTTGCCTACAAAGTACAAAATGGGATAGTGCTTCGTTATAAAATAGAAAATTATTGCTATAAATTTCTTTTCATCATGTTCCTTCAAAGTGCAATTAACAAATACAGCCTCAGACTCAATCACAGTAGAGGGAAATTTCAACTGGTAAGACAAAAACTTTGGAGTTGGTGTTTTGGGGAACTCAACAGAATGGGAAGGGGGAATTTTCACCAAGGGTCAACATGCAAAGTTGCTCAAAACTAGGCTACTTTTGCTGTACTCACACTATCTTTAGTGCCATAAACAGAATAGATCAATGGGTACACTACCATTATTGATAAGAAAAAAAGTTAAACAAATGCTGACTAAACAGAAAATGTTACAAGAAGACTTATATAGCCATAACTATAGTCCCTCAGTTCTAGGAAGGACATATCACACATATTTCAACAAATCAACCAACCGCCACTCAACCCAGCCATCAATACTTTCAGCATACTCACTACAATGCATTTTGCCATGGCCATGTCTTGTTCTAGACCAGTTGTAACTTATTTGGCAACAATTCCTAGTATGAAATTTGAACTGAGAACCATCTTTGGTCATGTATAAAATAAATGCCTTACACTGCACACTAAAAGTGGAGAAATGCTTCTTTGAATTCAGATTAGCTCAGTTCAAATGTCAATTACACAAATAAGCTTTATCGTCAGTCAAGGGGACTAAGTGAGTTGAAGTTCCATTCAGGACTTGGATTTTCTTCTGCTGTTTCTTGAGGCAGGCATTATTCCCTCCCAGCCATGAGCCTCAATGACATGTTTCTTTCCGTGAACTGGCGGGCCAATCAGGGCTTGGACGTCATCGTAGTTCAAAACTTCTTTTTCAAGAAGAGTTGTGGCAAGCTGGGAGAAGAGAAGTACAAAATGGGACAGTGCTCTAGTTATAAATTAGAAAATTATTGCTATAAATTTCTTTTCATCATGTTCCTTCAAAGTGCACTCAATGAATATTATTAACAAGTACAGCCTCAGACTCAATCACAGAGGGAAATTTCAACTGGTAAGACAAAAACTTTGGAGTTGGTGTTTGGGGGAACTCAGCAGAATGGGAAGGGGGATTTTTCACCAAGAGTCAACAGGCAAATTTGCTCAAAACTAGGCTACTTTTGCTGTACTCACACTAGCTTTAGTGCCATATAAATTATAATAAATCAAGGAATCAGCTCAAAGAATGATTGCCAATTATTTGTGAGGCAGCGTGGTGAAATCAGGAGCTCGCCAAAATACAGATCCGAGATCAAGGCATTTTTCTGCCAGTTTGGAAATTGTTATCAAATTTTTATGTTTGGCTCAACCTCATTTAGGTCCATGTAAAAATACATTTCCATGAGAATTTGACTGAAAAATATTGATTAAAAATTTTTTAAGTAGGCACAAATATGCCATTTTCCTGTTTTCAAGGACTCTTTAGCTATTGGAGTTACCAAACTTTGACGGTCATTTTCTCCCTAATTTCACCACTGAAACCAGGCAACCTCCCTTCCTTCAATCACAAATATCTCGAGTTCTATTCAAGATAGATGGATATCTATTTCATTGAAAACAAGGCAAATAAATAAACTTTCAGTTGGTACCAATAACTCCACATGCCCAAAAATTGACGAGTGCCTGATTCCACCGCCTCATAACACATTTGACAGACAACATAGACCTCTGCGAATTATTGAAGAATTCAAACACTATTCATTTCTTTGGGCTTTTACATTTGCTATCCCCAAGGCGGGGGGGAGGCGCGGCACACCATATTAATATAATATACCATTATGAGAGTAGGTTCTTCTTCCACTTTCCTTTGCTTTCGATAATCTAAAACATTAAACATGATCGCATATTGAACTATATATCTATATTAAGTTCTTTGACGGATTGTTCAGATAAAAGGCTGTAAATGCTCACTTTCAAAGAGAACACTTGAGAATCGGAGGTCGAACTTATGCAACAACAACAAAGACATGAAGGTATTGGAAAGAACGGAGCAACTAACCATAGGGAGGACACCGCAGATATCGTATTGAGGGCAGAAGAGGCATAGTGAGAGAGAGAGAGAGAGAGTGGGATAAGAGGAGATGGAGGAAAATTAATCAATATCATTAACACATTACACCCTAACTCACCCAGGGTCATCCCGGAATTTCCCTACGTGCTCCAACCTAACTCACCCGGAATCACCCGCTCCGACCAGGCATCTTTAGATCTTTAGAAACGGTCTCACCTTATCGAGACTCTGCGGCCGAGATTTTGTTTTACATAGTTATTGCAAAATGTTTCTTCTTCCGTTTGATACCGAAACGAAATTTTTGGGGTTAGTAGTTTTAGTATTAGAGCTGATCAAAGTGCGATCGCGTTTCCGATACTTCGGAGGTTTCTCGACTTGTTGAAAAGCAACACAATTGAGTTTGAAAATGGAAATAACAATGGATTTGAGCAAGAACAAGCAAATAACAAATCAGATGAATCAGATATTGATGAAAACATTGTAGCAAGAGGTTAGGGGGCGATTCAGATTAATCAGATGTAGAATTTAGACCTAGGGCCCGACTGCGAGGCTGAGAGTGAGAGAGACGGGTCGGCCACCCAGATTGAACAAAAGTTAGAACATTTCCAACAGTATGTGCATAAAATTATATTTTTCTGACATTACATTCATTTCTCTTTCTAATTTTTTTTTTCAGGGTTTTTGGAATTTGCTTAGTATTTTTAAAATGTGTTTTTTAAATGCTTGGGCAAACAACATTCACAGGAGGTGGGTTCCTTCCTTTTGCATAGGATCTAGGGGTAGACCTCCCGCTAAGACCCTTAGGGTGTAATGTGTTAGCTGAAAAAGGTTATTATCACTGAAAAACCTTAAATAATAAAGGTTGAAAGATAAATAAATGAAAGCCAGCACTTTGAATTATCCTTCCTAAATCCCCAAATATTTGGTGGGAAAGCCCTGATTAGATTACAGAGTCAATAGCGCTAATACTGAATTACCTTATGCAGTTTGTCTTTGTTCTCCTGAAGTACCTTCTGGGTGTGAAGAAATGCTTGGGCAACCAACATTCGTGCTTCCTGAAACACAACACCAAACTTGACTAAAAGGTCTACAGAAGGAGGTGTTCCTGCCTTGCAATGCCCAAGCCTTTACCATCCCACACAAATCAAAGTTCATTTTAAAAAAAATTTTATTATAAAATATAAATAGTTTTTGTTTTTGTTTTAGTAGAGGTTTTACGGCGCTCGCAACTGCATAAGGTCATATGAACGCCAGAAGATTAGAGGTGTTACAAGAGAGTAACAAACATAAAAAAGAAGGAGGGGGGATAAGGATGATAAATGTTTGATAGGAAAGAAAAAGCAAACCACACCAGAGCACAAATATTTTTTTAAGTTAACACGTTCAACAGATCATAAAAAATAACCAGACAAGATATCTTCAAAATTCCCCCTGCTTTGTGTTGTATGTTTAACAATAATAATAAACTTCACTTATACTACAGCACAATTTTTAAAAACAATTGACTTCAAATGCGCTAGCATTATTTCACGGACATGAATATCACTTTCTCAAGAACAACACAGAATATAGACCAAATTCAGAAAAATCCTATTGTTCACTTAAAAACCCCAACTGTAAAGAACACTATCATTACCTCATCAATCGTTGAAGCCAGTTTCTGACTGTACGGTTTACTGCCTGAGTTCTCCTCATCCCGCGGGAATGACAAGTAGCCCACTCGTGGGTTCATGCCAAAGGAGCGTATCTGGTCATAGGCCATTTTGGTCACCCTCTGTAAATCATCCTGAGCACCTGATTAAGAACAGAGAGATAGTAACAGTGAGCACACTGTCCCTGTCTTAACTGTCTATTTCTTAACATGCAGATTTGTAATTAAAAATAAAAATCATTTTCAGAGGTATGTCTATAAAATGAACGGAACCCAATCAAGACTTAAAAACTACCAAATTGTTATGCTCATGTTATGTGGTCACAGTTCAAAGTAGGTACTGTTCTATATGTCCCATTGATCATATGATCAAATAACATTTTTTTCCTTCTAAAATAGCTGTGCCTGACACATGTCATTTCTGCAAAGCATTTTTTCCCCATACTTTCAAAAAAATATAAAATAAGAGATGATCAAAGTCTGAAAACTAAGACTAAATTGAAAGAAAAAAAAAGCATAAAATGTCATTTTTCTTATGGTATATCACAATAAAATTTAGAGAAAACTGGAATAACTTAATTTCTAAAAAAATCAACTACATTCCGAGTTTATCAAAATTTAAAGGACACAGTTCCATTTTATAGGTCTCAATAATTTACTATAATGAAAATAAAAACATTTTTTAAAAAAGCAAATTATAAAAGAAGCAAAAGCACAACATGGTGGAGTATGTCATTATAAGATAAGATAATACTTTATTGTCCCTGTGGACCACCAGTTTAAGTCAGTCTAAATTATTTCATATTTGTACCATCTGGCATTCCCCTCAGTAGAAGGCTCACTCCACTTTAAATGAATCCCTCATCCCACAAATTTCATCCCAGTCTCTAGCTCAAAAAACAGTAGCCTGTTGAGCACAAGTTACACAAAAACATTATAATATTCATCCTCTTTCACAAGAACTTGCTGCCAGGAAAAATAATGAAGAAAAAAAGGCAAAAGAAAGATTACAACCCCCAATATCTTCGCCCATCACTTCACTTAAAGTGCACCATTTCCTTTTCCTGGGAGACAACTGTGACCCTTGACACACCAGGACTAACCAGGCAAGTCCAAAAATTTAATTTTTAAAAATTTTCAAATGCAAACTCTGTATTTTATGGCAACACACAACTCAGCAGTTTTTACAGCAACTCACCGGTGGAAACGTGATTGAATATGAGACTCTCAGCTGCTCTGCCTCCTAACGCCATGCACATACGTTCGAACAACTGGGAAGATACAAAACATCTAGCATCTATATTGTACCTGTAACAAAATTACCTCTAATTCTCATAAGAATAAGCCCCCGTGATCAGACTTCAGACGTCATAAGTGCCAGAAAGAATTTTTCCAAGTATATATATTTTTTTTATAGTAGAGGGTTTTACGGCGCTCGCAACTGCACAAGGTCACATGAGCGCCAAGGGGTGGGTGTCAACAGAGAAGTCTTTACAGGAAATCCGGCTTAGACAGCTCACCTCTCTAGCTTCAACAGCACAAGGTCTGCTTCGACTATCAAGGCACCCCAGAAATAGCAGGTCACAAGAGAGTGACAAACATACAAAAGAAGAAGAGGCAAATGACAATAGTAAGAATCAGGAAAGAAAAAGCAGCAGTTCCCTGTTGTAGATCAGGCACAGTTATGAGCGTGACATGAGTCAGCCCTTTCTACTATGCTTGAACAAGAAATGTCCCCTCTTTGGGAATGGCCTAAAGACACTACAGTCAGTGGCACTGCCCCGGGGGGGGTAGAATTTTTCCAAGAGAAGGAAAAAAAACAACTGATACATCTTAAGAGGCTGTGTCAAAACTCTTCGATTTCACATAAAGACATTCAAAACAATATAACCAAATAGGATTTAGTTTTTTAAAACAAATGTTGATGTTACTATGTTATGACGCTTATGAGTAATGACTGCACTGCCGTACTTGTGATTATACTTTGTAACAGTTATGTTGTTTATGAGGTTTGATCACAGTGAAATGTTGGTATAGTGAATAAGAAACAATTTTCACACGACAGAAGGTCAGACTTCCATAGCATGGTGGTCAAAACACCAAACTCAGATCAGGGAAGAAGAGATTTGATTCCTGGCTGGGTCATACTTGAGACTTAAAAATTCGCAATCTGGTGGCTGCTACACCCGACACTAGAGACAAGAGTAATCATGAGTAATGTCAGGATTGGTTTGCCCTTGCCAGAATAATGAGGCTGGATAATGCAGGGAAGTTGTCCGACACTTCATGCCTATGAGCAACAATATAAAAAAAATTGTTAAAGCCTCATGCTATTAGTCTGAACTAAACAGAAGATATTTTCATTTCTCACAGACTGATGATTTATAATTTTATTTTTGAGAATTTTCTACAGTTCAAACATTATATCACTATTCATGAACGCTCATATCACACATGCAACACATTGTACAAGAAAAAAAAAACTGTCCTTACCTCTTCTTGTGTATACAGCTTTTGATCTGAAGGCAGGTACTGAGCAAAACCAAGAGCGCTGTTAGTTCTGGGTACTATAGAAATCTGAAAAAATTAACATCAAAGATAATTTCATTATCAATTTAAAAAATGGGCGATTTGATTTGCCGCAACAGAGCATGGAATTGCAAGCTTTCAGAAAAACAACAAGTAAATAATTCAAAAGAATAAAAAGTTATTGCACTTGTGTTACATTGCAGTGAAATCAGGCACCTCTCAAAACACTGAAATCTAAGAAATCTGCATTGTTCAGCCCCTTGGGCAGTTTTTAATAAATTTTCTTCTTTCTTTTTTTCACTCAACACTTTTTATGTCAATTAATGTAAAACTATAGACTACAGTGTCAGCAGTGTTATTCTGCTCTGTATGTAACAGAAGTTAAATCGTTTACTGTCTTTAAACAGCTACAAACATTCAGTTTTCTCCTTCGTTCAAAACATGATTGCTGAAATCATATACACTCTGTTTGTCATTTTCACTGATGAGATGTAATGCACACAAGATATGATCATCATCACCATCGCCTACCCTCAGTAAAGCATCAGTATACTTCAGCATCCAGCCCACCAAAGCATGGCCTGATTCATGGTAAGCCACCACTTTCTTCTCTGTTGGAGACAATAGCCTGGTTTTCTTCTCCACGCCTGAGCAAACAAAATAAAACAAAAGTTTAAAAATTTATTTTTTTTAAACAAGTCTTGTCAAGGAAATAATCAGAACTTCCTCAAATCAGAGACAATTTGCACTTGGCTCACAGTAGAGAGACCAAGTGGTCAATTGATAACAAATACCGGTGCACAAACAAAGAAGGGGAAGCAACATCAGTGGCAAAGCTGTTTGGTAAGTCATCACATTTTGAAGTAAGACAAGTAGACCCTAGATAAAACAAAAAGGCATAACATTGCCATACTGTTTTAGTTTTAGTAATGTTTTACGGCGCTCGCAACAGCCTAAGGTCATATGAGCGTCAAGAGGTGGATGTCAACAGAGAAGTCCTAACACGGAATCAGGCTTACTCTGCTCACCTCCCTAGCCTCAACAGCACAAAACTTCCACTATCAAGGCAACCCAGAAATAGCAGTTCACAAGAGAGTGACAAACATACACAAGAAGTAGAGGAAAAAAAGGACGATAGTAAGGATGAGGAAAGAAAAAGCAGCAGTTCCCCTATGTTGTTCCGGCACAGTAGGAGCATGACATTGGTACTAAGCATAAAAATTTGTTAATTACCCCCACTTTGGGAATGGCCTAAAGATACTTTAGTTAGTAGCACTGTCCTGGGGGGGTGATGCCATACTGTATAATGAAATAATATGCCAATGTTTGAGAATGTTTTTGCTAATCATGTTAACCCTTCAACGGTGGGATAAGGCTGTGAATGTGGTAACAAGGTTTAAGAGTATGTAGAGCACAGGCAGCCAGAGAAGCCAGAAAATCAAGATAGTCAGATTCTAACACCTACACTGGCCCAAAAGATCACAAGTGTTCTGCTTGTGAGAAATTCATCTCTTAAAGGATGTTTTTTTGGGGGGAGAGGAGTGGTAGGTGTTTTATATGCTTGCTACTGCATAAGATCATACGAGTGTGCAGGACATTATAAGCATTTTCAGTTTGGAAGGGATTAGTCTTTAATTTTGCCTGGATAGAGGCCAAAGCCTATTCTCATTGATTTTAAGTCCACCAAGGGATCTTTAACGTGAGCAACATGAACACGGGACCTCCGTGGTTTTTCATCATGTATCAGAGAAGAAAGACTAGGTGTTCAAATTTACCTACCCTAAGATCAGGGGTGTGGCTGAAAGAAAGCAGTAAGAAGGAGCAGTGGAAAGGCAGCAGAAAGAGTCAGGAGCATATAGGAGGGGGGAGAGGATAGCAGATAGAAGAACATTATAAACACATTACACCCTAACTCGCCCGGGAATTCCCTTACGCGCTCCACCCTGACTCGCCCGCAACCGCCTGCGCCAACCTAGCGTCTTTAGAAAAGAAGTCTCGCCTCTGGGGCAGAGATTTTGATTTGCATAGTTATTGCAAAAAGTTTCTTCTTTCGTTTGATACCGAAACGAAATCTTTCGGGCCAGTAGTTTTAGTATTAGAACCGATAGAAGTGCGATCGCATTACCGACATTTCGTAGGAGTCTCGACTTGTTGAAAAGCGACACAATTGAGTTCGAAAAAGGAAATAACGATGGATTTGAGCAAAAACAAGCATATGACAAATCAAATGACTCAAATTTTGATGAAAACGTAGCAAGAGTTTGGGGCGATTTAGATTGATCAGACATAGAAAATCTAGAATTTAGATCTAGGGCCCGACTGCGAGGCTGGGAATGAGAGTGACGGGTCGGACACCCCGGTTGAACTAAAGTTAGAACATTTCCAACAGTTTGCGCATACATAAAGCTATATTTTTCTGACACTACATTCATTACTCGTTTTAACTTTTCTTTTTTCAGGATTTTTGGAATTTGTGTAGTATTTTTTTTATGTTTTTTTTTAAAGGCTTGTATTCACGGAAGGTGGGTTCTGTCCCCTTGCTTAGGATCTAACAATGGACTTCCCGTCCAGACCCTTAGGGTGTAATGTGTTAAAGAGCAAGAAGGAGGGGAAAGGAAAAATTTGTTTCCAGAAGAATATTTTTGTCACTGTCAGGTTTCGAACCCAGAACCTATTGAATGAGAGGCAAACATCGTACATCAAGACCACAAGAGCCCCCTCTAAAAGGATAGCACTTGAAGGTAACAAAAGAAGCCATAATAAGTTCAACTAACTAACCTTTGAAACGTGAAGACACTGCTATCTGCGGCAAGTAGTGGTATTCATGATCATTACAGTTTGTTTGCTACATTTCCTTTACTTTACTTTCTTTACCAAGGTCTATAACTTCTCTTCCTCCTTGGACGTTAAAAGACCCTCATCAGTTCACGATGGATGAACTATTATTATTACTTTCCTTTGAACACATTAGGCCGGTAAACTGGCCCAAGGCATATTTCTCAGCACTCAGCATCTTGAAAGGCATGTGCCATTAAGTCTTGAGGCTAACCATGTCCGAGTAGACCAGAGATGAGAATATATAGGAAACAGAAAGGTCTAGGGTACAAAGGGCTAACATAATAAATTGACCTTTGTGAGTCATCATAATACTTCACCCAAAAAAAGGAACAATCTTGTCATCTCTTTTTAAAATTTAATTGAGAGGGGTGGGGTGGAAGTTGAGCATATGTTGATCTCTCCAAGAGTTGTTTTCTTACATTCAAATCAAAAAGAAAAAGAAAAATTATGAGGGTTAATCATATATCATGGGGACTTGTTGCTTGTAACTGAACCAAAATTTACCTGAAGCATTTATTCATAAGGCCTCATCTCAGAGATCACTGACCTGCAATAACCCTCTCCACTGCATACTCGAAGTCTTCCTTATCCACTGAAGTCCTCTTGTATCTGGCGGCATGGATGGCTGCCTCATTGCAAATGTTGTTAATATCAGCACCTTAGAAATGTAAATATAGACAACAGACTCCCATTAATTTCCAGCTTGGTTTAGAGAGTGAAACTCTTGGTGCACTATTGCTCTTTTCCTCTGAACCCAGTAGGTAAGTCATTGGGTCCTCCAAAGTACTGCTGCCGCATGCTAAGACAGAACAGTGAACAAAGCATCTAACCTATTTTACACTTTCATCCCTCTCCACTGAAAATCCAATAACAATTCTGTACATTCGTAAAGTAGATAGGTACTATTCATACAAACATCTCTCTCTCTCTCTCAATCTCTCTCCCTCTCTCTCTTCCTCCCTATCACTCTTCCTCCCTCCCTTCCTCCATCCTGTCCCACCCCCTCCCACCTCTCTTTCTCTCCATTTCTAAAAACAACAATCTTACTTTTCTCTGTATTCAATTTTAAACCCCATATCTGGCAGAAATCAAATAACACATTGATTTTCTTTTGTAAACCTCTGACATTGTCGTCAAAAAGACTTAGGTCATCAGCGTACATTAAACATAAAATACCATCATTATCATTGGGAAATACCTGTATGGCATGGGTATTTGAATCTGAAAGGTGTTTTTCAAATTGAGATATAAACAAAGAAAATAATATAGTGCTTAGTATGCAGCCTTGTTTGACACCTGATGTACATTGGAAGTATTCAGTAATATAAGATTTCATGGATCCTCGTTCATCTGAACAGACTTTAACACATGAAAGAACACTTTGATACAATTTTTCAAAATGGTATACATTGGTCCAGAACACTCCTCATATCGTTATATATAAGATATTCACATTCAAACAGTAAATAACATGAAGCACATCTTCCCTACTTATACCCCTATTAAATCATAGTCTTAACACAAAGGAAAAAAACATACCACTCATGCCAGGAGTGAGGCGCGATAAAGGCTTGACATAAGCTTCTGCAGGCTGCGACAACTTCAGTTTATTGAGATAGACATGGAAGATCTCCTCTCTCTCCTGTAAGGTGGGTAGGTCAATCATGATGTGTCGATCAAACCGACCTGGACGAAGAAGAGCCTGATCAAGAAGATAATAAGTGAAGAATTATTGCAAAACTGAATCACTCCAGCCAGCAAAAAAAAAAGGAATGTTACGAAACCAGATAAAGAAGCAGTACAGGTAATGTTAAACCTTCTATCTGCAGGGTAGTCAGCCTTCTATCTGCAGGGTAGTCAGCATTCCTGAAGAAAATAACTTGCACTTCTTATTTACCTGCATTATGTGACATTTACAAGGATGGCCACTGAAGAGTCATAGAGTAAAATACCTTCATGCGGGCCCAAAACAGGACAAAGCAATGTGATAACCAGAAATGGTGAGTTGGTAGAACAGGTTACAATGAGAAGAAAACGAATATTTCAGTTATGAGTGACTAAACCTCATACAATGATTTAAGCTGTGAAAGAATACACACATTACGAAATAGTTTTTCATAAACATACAATTGAAAAGAACCTACATATCCATTGAAAACAAAGAGTCACTTTCTTTTTTCTTTCTAGATCTAGTTCTAATGTTACCAGCACCTCTATCTATTGAATTTTTCTTTTTGTAAATACTAATTTTTATTCTAAGAAACAGCAGATAAAACGGCAGTATTTGTCTTGAGCTCCGTTCTTCACCCAACAGACCAAGACCCATTACTAGATAACAGACTCTCCCAAACTCGCATTACTAGATAACAGACTCTCCCAAACTAAGTGTCACACAAATTATAATCTTTTTTAAACGTAAAAATAAGAAAAAAAAGTTAGGCAGTGGGCCATGAGACAGAAGCATAAAATCACACCGGACTGATATTTTTTTTAATAACTTTTTAAATCACTGTGATGACAGAACACAGCCTAGAGCAGCAACCTTCCATACCTTGTCAAGAATGTCTGCACGGTTTGTAGCAGCCAGCATGATAACACCTTCCTGTGTGCCAATTCCATCCATCTCCACCAACAGCTGATTCAGGGTGTGTTCATCTTCTCCTCCAGCACTGGCTGACCTGAGAGTCAAGAAAGAAATATAATACTGTTGCCCTCACACTTTGTATATATTGTGAACTCAAACTGGGGTTAATTGGCGATCCTCACACTATCAAAGCGGGTGGTTGGGGGGCGCCACTGACAGGTCCCATTTCTTTACTATCCCTCTGTCATTTCTGTATGTCTGAGCTTCTTTTTCCCAGGACTAATAACCATTATTGTGTCGATGTACTTCTCTTTACTCAGACAAGCACACAAACACTGTCAAAAATCACACAACTTTTTAAAATCATTCATCTTGAAACAAAAACTCATTTTCTGAAGATCTGGCTAAACTTTAGTTTGATTAATCACTTCAAACAGATTTACTCTATTTGCTTGATTTCGATAGTAATATTTTTGACCCAGTCAATGACAAAAATAAAAAATATGCTTTTCACACATCAAAACCAGTAACACAGTCGAACTGTCTGTAACAGAATCGCAAAGGAGAAAGAAGAAAATTCCACCTTGGAAAAGGGAATGGGGGGGGGGGGGGTGTCCATAGGGCCAGCCTGTACATGGAGGGAACAAGGGCCGTCTGTCCAGTCTACAAACAGTGATCAAAACCTCACATATCCCAATTGCTATCCTAGCCTCTCTGTTAGTGATTTAATGGTATGCCCATTGCCACCAGTACTTGCATCTCATAGAAAAAATGTTTACCCAGTTGAAAACAGAAACGATTGAACGTCTCCTTTGTTTCCACCCTTAACCCCACCTATTGATGTAGTAGGCACAATCAAACAGTGCCACCAGCGGAAAGACCAAGATACTCCATAAAACTGTTCTCCTTGCTCAGGTATCGAACTCAAGTCTCCTGCGTGCGACAGCAAAGCGCCTTACTGCTATACGGCAGATGCCGATACTCACATGAATAATGGTTTCAAACTTCAATTTGTAAATGGGTACAAATATCTTTGGAGAAATTACAAAAGAAGAAATAAAACAAAACTCTGCCATCAAAACATGATCTGGCACTAAATGTTACTTCTCCATGGTCAAACTATTTAAAACCATGACTGACTGAATATCATGAAATTATGTCCCTTGTCCCAACCAACACAGTAATGATGAAGATCTGGTGTTGCACTGCAGCAGCAGAAAATAAGAGTGACCAGAGATACTGACATACTTGTGTGGCGACAGTGAACTAGAAAAGGCAATCCATTGGGTAATTTAAAAATTTTTATTTTGGTAAGTGTTTTACGGCGCTCGCAACTGCATAAGGTCATATGAGCGTGCAGGACACATTGAACATTTTCAGTTGGTAGGAAATTTTGAATTTTTCCCAGGTGGCGGCCGAAGCCTACTCTTATCGATTTTAGACCACCGAGGGACCTTTATTAACAGCCGCAACTTACACACGGGACCTACGAGATTTTTCGCACTTGTCCGAGAAGGCTAGATGTAGATCTGTAGATCTTTCCAACAAGAAGATCAGGGGTGTGGCTGAAAGACAGCAGTTAGGAAGAATCAAGGAGTAGCAGTAGAAAGGCTGCAGAAAGAGTCAGGAGCCCAGAGGAGGAGGCAAAGGAGGTGAGGGGGTGGGGGGTAGAAAGCAGAGACAAAAGCAGATGACAGAACATTGCTAGAGAGCAGGAAAGGAGGTGAAAGGAGACAATTTTAGAAAAGAAAATGTTTCCGTTGCTACCCAGATTCGAACCCAGGACCTTTTAATGAGAGGCGAGCACCTTAACCTCTAGGCCACGGAAGCCCCCCAATTCATCATGAACGTAATGATTTCCTCATTGAATTTCAAGAGATTTAAATGACTTACCCTCCTCTCGACCTGCCAATGGCATCAATCTCATCAATATAAATAATACAGGGAGCCTTGTTACGCGCCTCTTTGAACAGACTTCTCACCCTCGCAGCTCCAACACCTGAAGGAAGATAGAAAAAGATTGAGATGCAACCACAAAAAAAGGGGATTAAAGAAAAGATGACTATACTAATTCAACAACCACTTGGACAAATCAAAGGACATCCTATTCCATACACAAAGAAAAGGAGAAAACTGGCATGACTTTCTCCTCGTTCTTCTTGAAGTGCCAATCCCAGAATAAGCTACATCATTTCAACAATAGAGAGATTTGCACCTACACAGGCTGAGGAAAATTCAGGTGTCAAATTTCCACCAGCTGGTGAAGTGTGACAACCTGTGCCACATGACCAGCAAGTTAGTTTTGAAAAAATCAAAGCACAGCAAAAACATTTTTCATCAAAACAAAAAGAAAAAAGAAAAGCAATCTCCACTCTACTACACAGAAGATGATAAAACCATAAGCGTTGAAGCTTTCCTCAATACCAGGACAATATCTCAAATAAAACCTCATTCTAACATTCATGACCTAAAGAATATATACTTTTTTTTTCAAGCCTTAATGATCCCAATATATACATATACATGATTTAAAAAACGGTATAATTGATATACATTGTAATGTAAATACCACAGATGAAAAACAGTACCAAAGCTGAAATTTCTTTAATTATACTCCTTGTCAGAAAAAATTTAATCAGATCCTATCAGTCCATATTCATCAGAGTTACAAAAAGTAAATCAAATGGATATCATGTAGCAATATCTCTTCTTCTGAGCATTTTTTTTTTTAATAAGGCACCTACTCACCTCCAATCATCTCCACAAATTCAGAGCCTGCCATTGCCAAGAAAGGAACCTTTGCTTCTGTGGCCAGCGCTCGGGCCAGTAGTGTCTTGCCACAGCCAGGTGGCCCCAGAAGTAATGCACCTCTTGGAGTCTTTGCTCCCAGCTCCTACGTTTAGAATATGCAACTAATTATTTACAATCACAAACCAAAGAAAGTATTTTTTTAAATGGCTGGCACAAAATACAAGGAGAGTTCCTTCCAGTATCTTTGCAGGCATCCCTTACAACAAAATAACATGGCTAATAATGTTCTCTGAAAAGGACAAGAAATAGGAAAAGTACAAATAAATTGCTCTAAAGCTCATTACACAACTCTTTGCTTCAGACTCCTTCAGACAGAACACAGAGTAAAAGTCCCAGAAAGAAAAAGTACTTACCGTGGTCAAGTAAAAAGGAAACAACTCCTTTTTGTCATATTAGCTTTTAGTTCCAGAAATCAGAAAATAGTATAACACTATTCTAAAGAAACAATGATGTTAAAGATAACAATGTACTCAAATAAATATTATTGAAAACAGTTGTCTCTAATGCCCCAGTGTACTCTATTCCTATTTACCTTGACACAGGCAGTCACTGACTACTGAAATGACTGATGGCAAATAAAAATCAATATTCAGACAAGACAGATTTTTTTTATTGAACACAAAAAGTAATTGTTTAGGTTATAAAGGAAGACATGACTTAATTCTATGGTGAAAAACTATATAAACCCAGCCGAGAAAATCGATGAGAAAAAGGTGTAAGATAATAATATGCACAGCTAAACAAAACCAAACTTTGAACAAGCAAGTAACTCATATTCAACGCACCTTGAATCTCTCCGGTTTCGTGAGATAATCCACAAATTCCATTACTTCAATTTTAGCCTCTTTAAGTCCTGCAACATCCTTGAAACTAACAGCTTTGCTGCCTTTAGAAGCAATGTCAACGCGAGTAAATTTTGCTTGTCTCATGCCACCCTGTAAATGAGATGATGACATACATAGAAGAAAAGAAAAGGTAAAGGACATTCTTTCCTTCTCCACAAGTTTAAAGCATACAAAAAATGTAATCTTCGGTTAAAAATATAGCACGCAATATAAACATAATAAAACAGACATTTTTCTTAGAGCAAGGGAAATGCATATATATCAAAACCGTCCTTACAATATACAAATGTGCATGCCCGCAAGGAGAAAGGAACCACAAGATGCTCTTGCTCGAACTGAATTACAGTTATATGAAAACGGATGTCAAAGAATCTGCTCGAAGTACAGTACTGAGTACTTGCATTACGAATAAACTCCATTCCCAAAGCTTTTAATATCATGGAAAAGATGGATGAATTGTAACCAATAACTCCTTTTCCACTGTGTGAATGATACTCACTGATAATACATCCATCATGTCAGTGACTTTGCCGTCCTTTGACTTGGTGAACATGGAGAACATTTGACGGAAGAAGAAGAGAAGGACTACTACAACCATCAGTTGCATCATCACCATCACCCATGAACTGAAACGCAAGAGGGTAACATACATAAATACAACTGAAAAGGCAAAGTAAGCATAAACAAAATAAAATAAATACATTTCAATCTTCAAGAAAAGAAGCTACAGTCATGTATGGTGCCGAAAATTTAGATCTATTAGCAAAGTGTAGTTTAACTATACATGCATGTGGTTTAACTACACACATCCACCTCATGTAGTGATCCAACTTGCACTGACTGGTCGCAACTCTCTGCTCTGCGCCTCGTCCGCTACTCACGCAGTCTTCAAAAGTCCGTGGCTCACGCCTCGGCCTGTCCTTGGTTTCTTCAATGTCAAATAGGTAGCCTACCGTACTCGACTACTTTCCCGAGAATCACACAGCTAACCACACAAAGGGACATTAAGTTCTCCTCAATCTTACCATCATCCTTTAAAACTTGCAGGCACAATAATATAGCAAGTAAAAAAGAGCGAAATACTGAATTACAGTGCTAAAAAAGGTCTTTGGAAAAATGATTCCAGAAGTCTGTTTGCCCGTGAAAGAAAATAAAGAAATGAACAGAAGATTGTTTTTTGTATTAGTATAAAGTTTCACTGGCACAATGTTTTTTCAAAGGTGGAGGAGAAAAAACGTTATATTTTCACTATACTGTATGAAAGTGGCATTAGAACTAAGATTTCAATTTCAAACCAATGACAGTCAGGCAGCCATATTAAAAACAAAGCATATTCAACAAGCTAGATATCTAAGTACAGCAAAAGAGGGGTTCTGAGGAAAATTAAACAAGTCCACATTTATAGTAGTGCTGGGCGGCGAGGTTCGCGATTATTGAAAGCCAGGAATCGTAGGAATCGACTCCGAACGCAATTACTTATTTTCTAATGATGTGATTTCTTCCGGTGGTTACCTTGTTGGCTCCGAACATCTTCAGGATTTAGGATAACCTTGATTTGGAACACTACGAAGCATCAACTTTTAATTTTTAAAAATAAATTCAAAAAAAAAGAAGAAGATTTTAATGACTAAAGTAACTGGTAACCGTTGGTATGGGAAACGGTTCCGGAATCGGTTCTTCGCCCAGCTCTAATTTATAGGCTCTACAGGATAATCTGATAACTAATCCCAACACGTAATTTACAGTGAAAGCCATGAACACCCAGGTTTGATTTCTCCAAGTCGCAAAATTATTGAATTATCAAGACATTCATGTAGGAAAGCAATTCTTAAACTTACTTTGAGGCAGCTAAATGAGAACTCTGAGACAAAAATCGCCAGGGAAGATCTGGGTGAAGAGTTCAGATGCAAAAGCAAATTTGGGCTACTTTAAACATGTTCAGGATTTTCTTTATATCACAATAAGCACAGCCAACAGTGATGTAAAATGAAATTTAATTTTAATTAACTTACTTGGGATAACCATATTTAATAGGTATCCGGTCCTTCAAGGGCATTTCCAACTCATCTTCCACTTGTCTAACACGCTCCTCAAAGTTGAAACCCTTTGGGATCTTGATCACATAACGACCTTTTGAAGTCTGTAGAAGAGGTGTCATATGAGATATACTTCAGACAAATGGTCTTTAAAAACAAAGGAGACCACATACTTTAGTAATATTTTTGTACTTGTAGAAGCTTAACACATTACAAGTCATGGAGCAGGTCATTTCCAAGGTATAGAGATGGATCCTTCAACAACAGAAGTTCCTGTGACAGAGAGTGTAAACAGTAATTTATGTAATCCCATTTGAGAATGAAAAGGGAAATAAAAAAATCCGACAGTAACACAATCAGAAAATAGATGAGCCTGATTCATGTGGGACATTAGCTAAACAGAACTCTGAATATGCAAGAAAAATGGCAGTCTAATTGTGAAGGTATCATAGTAAAAGATTCTTTTGCCGAATATGTACTACTCAATAACTTGTATAGGTGAAATAGAGAGAAGTTAAGAAAGTTATTTCATGCAGACTTAAAAACAGACTTTTAAAAAAAAAAACATTTCACTTTACAGGACAAAAACATACATTTAACAGTTTTGTTAATCGAAGTACATACCACCTGTCCCTTGATCACAGCTCCGTCATGGACTTCAATTACTGCAATATCTTCCCCTTCCTCTTGAGAAGAAAACAATAAATAGATGCTCTTGACCTGGAATAGAGATAAAAGAAGCAATAAACTCGCACTAACAACCAGAGACAAATCTTAAAACGAGATATAAACACAATGACAGAGCATAAAAGAAACCCTATTCCAGTTGTCAGACAAATCAAATTAATACATTGTCAAACATGATATGAACACAGTACTCCAGACCAAAGAACTAACAATTCAAGTGTATAAAAATGTCACACATCTATCTTTACAATGAGATCAACACTTGCATTAACTAATAATTCAATGAGATATGGCAAAATGGAATCAGTTTTGCAGCTTTATGAAATATGTATGTCGCATCACTGCACTAATCTCCCCAGGAGTTCATTTTCCCTTTCCATTTCGAAAGTGCCCATTCATTTCTCAATATTCCCTTTCTTGTTTTCTGCATGTTCGGTAACTACTCTTGACTAACCTTGAAAATCAAACTGCAGTATTTGTACCAGACTACACAAACTTAGAATAGAACGGTGAACATGGTGATCCTTCTCTAAGAGAAATTTTATTTTAAGAATGTGTTCCCAGCAAGGTACTCGTGCCTCTAGTATAGGTAATGTAGCACAGAGTAAGGCTTGAATTTCACTTAATTATAGTTCAGCATCTTCACTAACCTCTCCCTTGAGAAGGAGGTTATGATAGAATTCACTCCAGGAGATGTACTTGACAGATGAATTTTCCTGGTTGCCACCGCTTGGAGTGAGAATCCAAGCCAGCAAGATCACAGCCACAAATGTGTACAAAGAACGCATAAACTCCGCTGCAGAGAAAATATTTGTGAAAATAAAATGAAACTTACGACGTACATAAAACTTATGTATGCCTAGAATCTTAACATGTCATAGGCTCGTGTACATGTTCTCATACTTTAACGGGAGGAGCTACCCTAGAGGACATTTTCTATGTTTGTTGCCTGAGATCAAATCTAAGTACACATATAAGTTAGGCAGAGTAAAATCTCTTGATATGCAATTTTATTTTGGCATTGCTACAGCAGTTGCTATGGAAATGGCCGCCATCTTGAAAATAAACAATTAATTTCAAATCCCTAAGGCTTTCTTATTTACTGACCAAATTCGACAAAATTTGGTGAGAGTATACCTGAACCAGACCCTATCAGTGGAACAGCAAGTGCAAAAGAAAAAAAAAGATGAGAATTTTCCCAAAGTATAAAAAAATCTCTTCTAAATGTATGTTGCGTAATCATTGGCAATTGGAAAGGTGTTATTTTTTCCACAAATATCTCTTTGTTACATTGGTGGCAGCCTCGCTGTTTCCTGAAAGTTTCATGTCAAAAGCATAAAAGCTGAGGAAGGGGTAGGGAAAAAACTGAAAAAAAAAAGACATTTTGCGAAAAACTACAATTATTGTGATTGTATTAACCCATCCTCATGTTTTCAAAGGCAATTTACGAGGAGAATAAAGACTTTCTCAATTGTCTCCATGCTATTTTTAGACGAAAAAAACGGTTGATCTTAAAAAATCAGCCAACATCTCAATATGCATAGCCTGACCCAAAATCAGCAAAAGCAAGGGTTTCGTACCTTAAGAAGGTACAAAAGTTTAGAATCTCAGAACAGTAATGTGTCAAGCATTTTGATATGAATAAAATGACAACATAATAAAAAAATGAACATAACTACACAGACGATCTATCACAAAGTCAGACAATGTTCTAGATCATACACACAAATTTTACATATCTGAGGAACTAGACTAAGCATAAATTCTTTCCAGCCCAAAGAATAACTGCACTACCTTCAGGAAAAAGTTTTACCGACATATTAGAGTCACATGCTAAGTTTAGCAAAAGTATTCTAAATTTCACAACCCTTTTCAACAAAGGCTTTTTTAATAGACATTGAGATAACTGACTCATAACCCCTGTGAGGCAGTTGCATCATATCTAACTCATAGCAGTTGACAGTTTTCATGCTGTATGGGAAAGAAAAACAGCTCTGGCCCAGATTTCATCTGTCCTTCTGATGGTCAGAAATTACTATTTTAAAAACGGAAGCAATAAATTTCTCAACTATTGCATAATAGTCATGTTACATTGAGGTTTAACTTCTGCTCCCCCACAAGAAACTGTTGGGTCTCAATTATAAATATATAATTCTAAAGAAGAAAATATCCACATTAAAAAAACAAAATGATTTTTACTATTTAGTAAAAGGGAAAGTAAAGAAAACTGCCTCGTTCTTACACAGACCTGCCAAACCCTTCCAGGACCATAAATAGAGTTTACCTTAGAATCCACCTTAAAAATCGGAATTAGAAGAAAAATATCACAGTCCCAAGAACCCCAGTAGTTTCATATTATATTACAAACTGATCGCGGTGAATATGACCATGGCGAATAAATGTATACTGCAAATACATTAACATAAAAATGTTCAAGCCTCATTGCAAATAAACGCAAATGTGTATTTTCATGTCTTTACCATAAGTCACACAAGACCAAATGTTGGATTATATGCAAAATCCGATTAGGGTTCTTCCATAGGCTAAAAAAAATAGGAGAGCTTCACTTTTATCGGAGAACTTGGCAGGTTTGCCTTACATAAATAACCAAACAAGTTTTACATTAAGGGGGGAAAAAAACAAAACATTGTATTGTAATCTTGTGCCCTGAATAGAACATTTCTAAATGTTGATTTTTTAATTTTGCTTTACTCGCTCAGATTATTTTATTTTTTAATTACACGCATTATGGAACCAACACAGTTACTTTAACTTAAGTAACGGAGCAAAGGAGACAACATAAACTTAATTTGGGGCATCGCCAATATCTTATAATTCAAGGTCACTTAACATAATAAGTATATTGGAAAACAAGATCCTACTGTTTAGGTAACATGTCAGAATACAACAAGATGAATAAAACGTGGAAGAGAAAAAAACATTGAATAATAAGATTTCATGACACAGGGTATGATCCCAGTAAAAACACAAAAAGTAGTAAGTAGGGAAAAACTCTGATCTAAATCAACAAAAAATTATAGACCTATGTCAAATGATTGAAACTGTGTCATACTTTTTCGCCTTGCTTCATCATCACCATCTTCATCGCCAGGCTGGTCCTGTTCCCTGCCCGTGTCCTTACCAGCTTCACCTTTGTCCCGACCTCCATCTCTCTCCTGAAAATCCCTTCCGCTGGGACGAAATAAGTTGATGTGCTCCGCTGCAAGACAGTTGTAATATAATGAGAAATCATACTTCATCAGCTGGTAATAGAGTAGGCAACTTATATATATTGAAATCAACTTTCCTCTCCGGGGAAAAAGAGAAGAAAAGCTAATACTCTTAAAAAGACATGTTTGCGTTCTTGTCACATTATGATAATGATCATTAAGCAAAGCATTTGCATTCATCTCTTGTCATAAGTATTCTTACTTTTCTGCACCTATATTATGCTAGCAACAACATACAACATACACAGAAGTTAATCCTGTTTATTCCTATATTGTTTAAGTCAAATGTGCTAAGAAAAATTATTCACATAACTGAAAACCTTATGAACTCACTGCATTATTACATCCAATGCAAGTATATTTCATACAAATCTTAATCTCTTCAGATCGAATTTCTGGTCCACCAGTAATAGGCAGCTGTCATACATCTAATCAATCTGCCTATCAGCCCCGAACTCCACAGTTATTATGGAAATTAACACCTTGCAAATGGCAAACTCCATAACCGAGGACTACAGGGTTGTTTTTCTTTGAAAAATTGGATTTATTTCAAAATGATGCTGCCCATATGACTAAAATCTGCAACATGAAAGAGGACCAGGTCCTAGCGGTTCCCAATAATTCAACAAGTGCTTTAAAACAAGTCTAAAGGCAAATAAGATCAGGATCACGAATGCAGTACATGTAGTACTACTGAAGAAATCAGTTAGTGCCCTGGTGATAGAGGCTCAAATGGATTACAGCAGTCCCCGCCTAAGATGTGCAGGATCCTAGACGAACAGGACCTTAGCCAATTCCCCTGGGGAAGAATCCACAGTGAATCATGGCAAGGCCCACAATCTGTAAAATAACTTACCCTTACTTTGAAATGAACTATCATGACCCTTGGGTGGGTCTATGACTTATGCAAGTTCAACTGGAGGGCTCAAATGCAAGCGCCATGTTTGAGGAAAACAAATGCATTGACGAGTGTACACCTCAGCACGATCAACTCAAGGGCAAACACAGTACTCTCTCATCAAGATTTACAACAGAGACGTCATCACATTCACAAGAGTGGATGATCTGTGAGGCAACAGGAAGTACAATGATCGCAAATTTTTGCTGCTGGGTTCATCAGCTTCCCCCTTTCCAGGGTTTTGCTCCATAAATTATGATCTGAAATGCAGAATCTTAGCAATATGTAGTCCTTCAGGGCAGGACCTTGGGGGTGAATTTTGTGTAGTGAAATTCCGTTTACTTAAAACAACTGGATATTAACTCTTTAAACCCATCGGACTCTGCGTCCGTTACCAGCAACAACTCTTTCGCTTCATTTAGCGCTAGTTTTTGCTTGTTTTTTGGAATTATTCCCAAACCAAGTTTATTAATAATGGCTAAGCCTTTGTTTCTGCCATTTAGAAGTTAGAGGCAAGCTTTTGGGGTTATGAGACACGGTGCACCAGGTTTAGGTGACCGTAGAGAAACACTCTGGGAAACGGTGGAAATAACTCAGGGTCTAAAGAGTTAAGCATACCAGGATCATAAGTGGTGGGATCACTGACAGAGACTACAGTATATCAAGTAGTGTATAGACCTAGGCCAGGGGGAAGGGGTTGATGCAAGAGGGGATCCACAATGAATTAATTTTACTAATAATTGGACCTTACTGGTATTAGTTTATAGGTAGACCAGTAAGTATCGTGACCAAATTTCCTACAATTCTGTTCCTTTCTGCATGCCATAACTACTTCTGTGATCAATATGAGTACTTGCATACTTTTGCTCAGGGGCCTAGAAAATTAGAATCAGGATGTTACATCTCACAGGAGAGGAGGAGTAAGAAAAGATTCTTCATCACCCTAATCCATAGTTGGGAGCATGTTTTAAAATCAATGTTCTTTCAATGATTTGCATGAGATGCTGTAAAACTTGACATTATCTCATTCTGTGTCAGTGACATCATAGCGATTCCAAAGATTGAAGACCATGTGTGACAGAAAAAATGTTAATGTCTTGTCGATGATGTCTTGCTAATTTCGGATCTCCTTATATGGACATATCTTAGAGTAAAATAAAGCTTTCATCATATGTAAGTACCTTTCAAAGAGTCTCCAGATTTCAATTTGACCAAAGACCAGAACCACTCTGACCTAAGGACTAATGATGACACAGCTTTGATCTGTCTACGGAATGCACTGGCAAACTATGGAGTAAAAATGAATATATTAATGCTCAATATACTTCAGGCAAGACTTTACAAAGACACATAATAAGCAGAAAAAAATTAACAATCAAATAAAGTATAAATGACAAAGTGAACAACATAATCAGCCTTGAAAGAATTTTATGCAAAGTCTCTCGCATGTGCAGCACAAATTAGTAGATCCCAACTCTATGGTTTCACTAGATTAATTATTTTTTTAATAATAAAAATGGAAAAAGCTAATTTCATTACCAGTACTAAATAAAGTAACGAATACAGTCATCTGTAAAATTTATACTAAAAACACAAAGCGTGTATCAGAATACTGACCCAAAACAACTTCCTTTGAGATCTGCGTAAAAAATCTAAACAGTCATGTTCAGTACTCACACTGTTAGCAAGGGCTTAACAGGAATATAAGAAATCCTAAAATTTGTACCTCTTTCGTTCCTGGCACTTTAAAAGCATCAAGCCAAGATGAATGACAACTGTGGCACAAATTTTGATGCTTAGAGCCAATAGAAGTAAGCTGGGCTGTATATGCACTCTGTTCTCTGGTAGAACACTTCAAGCTTTGAACTGACTTGCCAAGATGGCGTGAAGATAGAAATTGCCTGGCAAGCCTGACATAGCCACGGTTGAGAGTCCGGTACAACAGTCGGTCCATCTGCAACCAAAAAGAACACCCTCATGAGTACAATCATTATTACTTTAAAAAGGAACAGCCTGCTTACAAATTCCTTCCCACTTGTAGATAATAATATAATGGTTCTTCGCCTTCACAAGACTTTTATCCCAGAGTAAAGTACATTAGAGACTAAGCATCTATGAAAGAAGTATGTTGGAATGAAGCTTTCTGTGACATGACACTTTCCACGAGACAGTAGCAAACTTGAGAAAAGGGACTGAATAGCCCCACCTTAGGGGGCTCAGTAGTTCAGAAGGTACCAGTCTGGTGTCAACTTGGAGGTGTGGAGTTCAGTGCCTGTCAGTGTCAAATTATTTTATCATGTTTTCTGCCCACCCACACTCTTGATCCTAGAGAAGGAAAGATGGAGTACTTAGTATTCTCAGATCAGGATGAAAAATTCAGATGTTCTCTGTGGAAGCTTCCCTTTGCAGTTCAGGCCATTTTCCTGGAAAAATTCAAAATTGACTCTTACCAAAACTTTAAGGTAAAGCCAGTCTTGTCAATACACATATAAAGACTAGAGTAGGCTTAGCTTTGAAAACAGTACATGGCTGTCTGACTGGCGAGAAAGTTAAAACAGCCCAGTGCATTAAATCAACTGCACTGTGAGATGAAGATCTCACAATCAGTAGTCACTGTCATTAAATCTCTAGCAAGAGCACGATAAAAAAACCCAACTGCACTGTGAAAAGATGATCTTACAATCAGTTACTCCCCGATTTCTAGCAGGGGTTTGAGAAAAAAGAAGAGCTCCACCTCACAGGAGAAGTGTCATTTAATTTCCTTCAAGTAAAGAGTTAAAGTTGTAAGTCCCAAACGTCAGTATTTTTAGCACATTTAAGTTCAGAAAAGGCTTCGTCCACAAAAAATAAATCTAAAGTAAGAGTGAAAACAAATGTGTACTGGTTTCGGGGGTGGGGGTCATTTTAACATAGATAAATGCGTCAAACATATAATGAATACTTTTCTTTTAATTTCAAGCAAATTAGAGTCCCGTACGTACATCATCATCAAATGCCAGATTTGCTACAGACATTGGCAATCATGGTTCTCCATTCATTCCTTTGCTCAGTTGCTCTCAAAATAGCTACATTATGATTACCCAGCCTGATCTTTCCCATCACCCAGACCCATCACGTAGGTTGCACTGGGTCACCCTACCACTGCCTCATTTGCCTTCAAATTTAATTTTGCCTGTGATAGCTAAATACTCAGTCTTTACATACCTGACTTATTCAAGGGTCCCAGAACCTTTATTAGTATTTTGTCTTTTCCTGATTGTTTTTTTTAAATCAGGCAGCAATCCACATGGGCTTCTTCAAGTACAACCTTATTTGATTTTTCTTCTTACCATAAATATAGAAGGGTTTTTAACCCTTTAGAACATTCAGTTTGGAAGTCATTTGAGATGTTTCTATTTTTTCAGAATTGGCCTCATTTTATTGAAAACTTTCTTTCTATGATCTATGTCTATAGCCGTTATAATTCTCAGTTGAGTACCAGTCATTTCATCACATGGTCATTTCGTCACACCGGTGCAGTCAAGACATCACAGTCATTTCGTCACACCCCAAACCCACAAGGTTGAAAGAAGACTGTCATTTTGTCAAACGTTTGCAAAACCAAACGCGCATTGTCGTGGCAAGCGCAAATCACGGTTTTTCGGGGAGGGCTGGTCGCCGTGCCTACCTGATCAGCTACACTGTTCATATAACTGGTTGAGTTTTGTGGAGTTGTTTTTATTTGTGGAAGAGTGGGGGAAGTTTCAAGTTTAAATTACTAAAAACAAGAGGGCACGGCCCAACGATTACGTGCCTGAATTGGTGATTAGAATAAAGACTGCTGATGCTGATCCTCCAAAACTTTACTTAGATCATTTTAACAATTTTGGAGATATGCGAAGTCAAAGTCATTATGCCACTCATAACTGGGAAGTGACATCAGTATCAGGTAAAAGAAAGACGTAATTATTAATCTTGATCAAAGCACAGAATAGAATCCAGACCTAGATATTGTTATGGGAGTGTCTACGTACACGGTAACCGCGCACGTAGTCTCAGTATCTACGTACACGGTAATAGGGTACTTAGTTTCGGGGGCCCCTTGAGCTAGGGGCACGGTAACTACATCGCTCCCTTCACGACCTTGACTTCTTTCATTTTTCCCCGCTTTTTGTGTGTAGTGAGCATAAAGTAAACAGTAAGCACAATAAGACCATTCTATAGTCTGTTTCCCATTATTTTTGGTATGGATCCCAAAAATAACAAGACGGCACAGCCATATATAAATGTATTTCAAATCCATGTATAGATTGAAAACAATTCTAATCAGAAACTTCTCTGCTCCAACCCTAACCATCTAATCATTTAGGCATATCACATCTAGGTCTAATGTGCTTAAAAATGCTGGTAGAATATAAGCATCAATGAAAAAGTTGCAAATATACCATAAATGGAAAGTCCATGATCTATATATTTACATCTATTCATACTCATACTAGTTGAGATAACGAACAGTTGACATTAGATAACGAACAGTTGACATTATACAGTAGAACATGGCTATATCCTGCTGTCCGCAAGTTTCCGCTGTAGGATAAGTGATGGGCGGTACCGGCGAAATCCAGTGCTGGTCCTTTCCTGGCACAGGGTGACGAGAACCACCAGTACCATACCGGTACCGGGAGTTACACAAGGAGCTGATGTCAGAGACAGTGCGTCTCACGTCTCGCGCCACGATCAGTGCCGGCCGCCTGCATCTTCCCCCCACCCACACATGCGTCTCTCTGCACCATCTCTCTCTGCCGCCTGCCCCATCTCACTCATTACTGG